ACACAGCCAGGTGAGCCACTGGCCGTGCCTGCTTGCTGATCTCAACTGCCACCTGCCAGGTCCTGGCCTCTGCCTCAGGCCGTGGCCGTGAGGTCACCTGCTGCCAGATCCGCATCTGGGATGTGTTCACGGGCACCTGCCGGAGGCTCCTTTCTCACCATGGCTCCGCCGTCCAGGCCCTGGCCTTCTCGCCGGACGACAGGCTCCTTATCACACTGGGTCAGCAGAGCAGGCCCAGGGGCGGGCTTCAGGGGGGCAGGCCTGGGTGCTGACGTGGCTGCCTGTCCTGCCGATCTCAGGTGACTACGGTGATCGCACCCTTGCCCTGTGGAGCACAGCCACCTACGAGCTGGTGACCTCCACACGACTTCCGGAGCCGGTACACGGCGTGGCATTTGGCCCTGGGGACGCTGCCAGGCTCACCTGCGTGGGCCGGGGCGCTGTCACCTTCTGGCTCCTGCAGCAGCGAGGGGCAGACATCCACCTCCAGGTGCACGGCAGTGGGCATGGGGCAGGGGGCGGGGTCTGGGTGTGGTTTGGAGATGGCTGACCGTGGTTGGTTGGTCCTGCCCAGGCGCACCGCGCGTCGCTCCCTGTGGAGGTGGGGGCCAGCGAGCTGACGGCGCTGTGCTTTGGCACTGCACCCCTACTCTACTGTGGCTCCAACGCCGGCCAGATCTGTGTCTGGGACACTTGCTCCAGCCGCTGCTTCCTGGCCTGGGAGGCCGATGATGGCGAGATCGGTGGGTGCGGAGGGCCCCTAGCTGTGTGGTGGGCCGCAGTCCTGTGGTCGGCCTCGGGGCCGTTGCTGACTGCCCCCGCACCCCCAGGAGTACTGCTGTGTGCGGGGATGCGGCTGGTCAGCGGCAGTAACACGCGGCGGCTGCGCCTGTGGGACGTGGGGGCCGTGCCGGAGCTGAGGCTGAAGGGATCAGGTGCCAGGTGAGTGCCTGGGGGGCTCAGCAGTGTCCTGGAGGGGACACGCCCACAGCGCCCAGCCTGGCGGGGTCTGGCGCCCAAGCCCACAGCCACCCCTGCGTGCCTGCCCCAGGTCCAGCGCCGTCCTCCTGGAGCGCGAGCTGACACTGGACGGGGCCATTGTGAGCGCTGCCTTTGATGACCGCATAGACATGGGCATTGTGGGCACCACGGCGGGCACGCTCTGGTATGTCAGCTGGGCCCAGGGCATCAGCACCCGCCTCGTTAGCGGCCACAGGAGCAAGGTGAGGGCCCCCGGTTATCCCCACGTTACCCCCCAGACCACACATCTGCTCTCCGCCTCACGCACACAGGAACTTGGGGGGCACAGCCCACCACCACCACCAAAAGCCGCCAAGGGGGTCGTCCTGCGTCTCTTCTCTTCTCGGTGTGCAGCCCGCCAGGGGTGGTGAGCTGCCGCGTTCTAGATTCGGTCACAGTAGCTCTGTGTGGCCATCTCTCTGACGGACAGTCGGGCTGGCCTGGCTGGTGGTGTCCCTCGGTCCTTTGACCTACACAGATGGAGTGCTGGGACACCCTCGGGCAGGACAAGACCACGGGATCACCAGGAGTAGGACAGGCCTGTGTCCCTTCTGTGCCCAGGGCAGGTGGCCCGAGTGGGCTGGGTGGTGCCCCTCAGCCAGCTGTGTCCTGCAGGTGAATGAGGTGGCCTTCAGCCCCGACGAGTCCCACTGCGCCACCTGTGGCGAGGACGGGAGCGTAAGGGTGTGGTCCTTGGCCAGCATGGAGCTGGTGATCCAGTTCCAGGTGCTGAACCAGGTGCGTGGGGCCCGGGGGCGGGAGCGTGCAGGTGCTCGGGCAGGGCCGCCTGCCCGCCCGCGAGGGGCTCGGTAGGTGCCAACACTGCCCTGCACGTCCCAGAGCTGCCTCTGTCTGGCTTGGAGCCCCCCGTCCCACGGACGCCTGGGGCGACAGCGGTTGGCGGCCGGCTACGGTGACGGTGCCCTGCGCGTCTTCAGTGTCTCCCGGACGGAGATGGAGCTCAAGATGCACCCCCACCCATCCGCACTGACGGCCGTGGCCTTCACTGCTGATGGTGAGGGCGCGGTGGGGCATAAGGGGACAGCGGCGTGGTCCAGGTGGGGGCCAAGCACATAGGAGGATGACCGCATGGCTGAGGCGGGGCCTGGGGTGTGTAGGGATACCGTGTGACCCCCGCCCTGGCCCAGGTCAGACCATCCTCTCTGGGGACAAGGATGGGCTGGTGGCCGTGAGCCATCCCCGCACAGGGATGACTTTTCGTGTGCTGAGAGACCACCAGGGCGCCGCCATCTCTGCCATCCAGACCAGAAGCAAGGAGGTGAAGCCGCCTGGGTACAGGGGGGTGGGGCGTGTGTGGCGGGTGGCGTAGTGGGCAGGAGGCACCTACCAGCCGCTGGCCCCCCTAGTATGGAGATTTCGGGGTGCCGGGTGCAGACCTGTGGCTGGCCGCCAGTGGGGACCAGCGGGTCAGTGTCTGGGCGGCCGACTGGCTGGAGGACCGCTGTGAGCTTGTGGACTGGCTGAGCTTCCCAGCACCCGCCCCTGCAGAGGTAAGAGGCGGGTGGCGCTGAGCACACGTGGGTGTGGGGCAGGGTGGTGCCTGCCCCACCCGCCACAGGGTCTGTACCCTGCAGGCGTCTGGCTGCCTGCCACCCTCCCTTGCTGCCTTCTGTCCCTGGGATGGTGACCTGCTGGTATGCGCTGGCCTCGGCCCCCGGGAGGAGCTGCTTCTGTACAGCCTTCGCCAGAAGCAGGTACGTGCACTGCCTGGCACAGACCGAGGGACACAGGGCAAGGGGCTGGGTCTCACTGTTGCTGCCGGCAGGTGGTGGAGACGGTCCCGCTGCCCTTCTTCGCCGTGTCCCTGAGCCTGTCCCCGGGGGCACACCTTGTGGCTGTTGGCTTTGCTGGTGAGTGCGCTGTGCTGAGGGGCTGAGGGCGCCCTGTTCCCTAGCCCTGTTCCTCAGAGCCCTCCCCAGGCGCTGAGACGTGGGTATTCTGCCTCACTCCTGCGCCCTTGTCTCTGAAGTGGGATGAGGAGCCCGCCTTGGGTGGGTGTCGGGGAACAGGGCGGGTGAGGTTGGGCCGGGCAGCCCTCACCTGGAGTTGCACTGCACTGAGGCCACATCGCCCTCAGAGCGCCTGCTGAGGCTGGTGGACTGTGAATCGGGGACCGCGCAGGACTTCGCTGGCCATGGCGACTCGGTGCACCTGTGCCGCTTCTCCCCGTCCACACGGCTGCTCCTCACGGCAGCCCACAACGAGATCCTAGTTTGGGAGGTCCCAGCTGCTGAGGCCCAGGAGCCGCAGTGCCGGGTGTCCTGGGGCGAGTCTCCCCGGTGACCGCCTGAACAGCTGGGCCTCCTGCCGGCCAGGAAGGCTCAGGGTCGCCGGTGAAGTGGCCCTCCACCCGGGCAGGCCCAGGACTGTCTGTAGCCAAGACCAGCTGCTGTGAATTTGGGGGTTTGAGAACTGAAATGCTGTTGGCTTTTTTCTACCTTGTACTGTTTAAATAAACATGGGTGTCGCCTTGGCCACGAGCCTGCTGGTTCTTGCTCACTCCAGACTGCCCTGGGCCTAGCCCTCCCAGCGAGCCAGGGCCTGGCCCTCACCCTGACGCCCCCTACTCCCCACCCAGCTGCTCCGGGAGGATCCGGCCCTAGCAGCTGCCGTGCTGAAGGCCAGAGGCGGAGACCCCTGCACCTGGGAGGGCTGCTACCAGGGCTGCAGCGACGAGGCGGACACCTGGGTGCGAAGGGCTCCACCTCCGCCCGGCTCCGGCCCCGCCCCCGGCCCAGAGAGGAGGAGCCCAGAGCGGCGCCCGCAGTGCCCGGTGCGCCCGCGCGGTGGCGACGCCGCGCGTCCCGGTCTCTCTGGCCCGCCCGGCTCGCTGGTGCGGCTACCTGGGGCGCGGGCCGGAAGTGCGGGCGCAGACCGGAAGCGTCGGTGCGGGGGACAAGGATCAGGGATCCGCTTGGGGCCAGGGCGGGTCGGGGCCGGGTCGGGGCCAGCACGGGGCTGTGGTCGGGGCCGAGCTGAAGCCATGAAGCGGGACGTGCGCATCCTGCTGCTGGGCGAGGGTAGGCGCCCGGGCCGGGGGCGGTGGCCGGGGGTCTCGGAGCGGCCAGGGGCGGGGGCCCGGGGTGTTGG